ACATGAATACAGTCTCTTAGTCCTTTTTCTGCAAGATGATGACATTCCTTAGTTCAATTTCCTGTCACTAGTGAGCCTTTCTGTATTGTTGATTCTGGTCACTGTGTTTATGTTAAACTTTTAATGTATCCCATGATACTCAATTTTTCTATTTTTTTACTTGATCACTGTGTTTTCTGGTCTCTTTGCCATCTTTCATATCTTGTTCACAAAATCTACGTTTCACTTAACTCCTTGAGAATCAGACTCTATTTCCTCCATTTATTGAGTTATACCATAACTCAGAGTGTTTTATCTTTCCAACTCATGTTGCTTTGCTTTCTCTTCTTTTCCACTGAAGAATTTTTACATAAACTCAATGCTATTTAATTGCTACACATTCATCTTGAATAACATCTGTCTGCTCATGTCCTTATATAAAGTACCAGAACTGTTCATTGAGCCTATTTATTCATCAAGTTACTGTAAAACTCATCTCTTATGAACCATCAGTCTCCAGTCTCCAACAGGTGTGGGTGTTGAGATGTGACACCCTGTCGATCAGTTATTGCTCATGTTTACATATATGCAGAAGGTCCTTGGATCATCTATCCCTAAACTTTTTGGCATCAGGGACCAGTATCACGGAAAACAATTTTTCCATGGATGGGGTAAGGGGTACAGGGGAAGATGATGGTTTCAGGATGATTCAAAGGAGTACACAACCTAGATGCCTCCTGTGTGAAGTTCACAATAGGGTGAATGAGAATCTAACCACGCTGCTGATCTCACAGGAGGTAGGGCTCAGATAATGACATGAGAAATGGGGAGCAGCTATGAATATACCAAAAGTTTTGCTTTAAAGGCCACTCATCTCTTGTACTGGTCTCCAGAACCCATGCCTTAGAGGGTCATCTCCTCACAGCAGTCTTCACAGAATGTTGCATCTCCCTTGGCTCAGACCTAAAGTTATTACTCTCAAGGTGTGTGGTCACCCTTCCAGATCAGCTTATGCCCAGTGTCACCAAAAACCAGAAGACCCACAGGAAAAAAAGTGTGTAACAAGCATATAGCATCAGCACTGGGATTCTGTGGAGGTGAGAGGAGGTCCATCCCAAAGACCCTGTACTGCAGGAACAGACAAGTTGGCTACATGAAAGATCCTGTCTCCCACACTCCTTGAGCTCCACTTCCAGATGTGGAAGACAGCTCCATGCAGAACTCTGGCTTCCGTACAATGACTGAGGCCCTGTGCTCATAAGTACTCACAAACATAAATCCCAGATTGTCTGGACCCAGCAGAGCAGTTATGGTCACAGGAATAGTGCACTGGGTTGAACAGTGTCCCTAAAGGTCATGTCTATCTGAAATCTTACAGCGTGATTCCACTTGGAAACAGGGTCATTTCAGATGGAATCAGTTAAAATGAAGTCATACTAAAGTGCAATGGCCCTAAACTCAATGGCCCTGTAGTTCTTAAGAAGAATGCTGTGAAAACAGAGGCAAATACTAGAATCATGTAGTTGCAAGCCAAAGATTGCCGGGGCTTACCAGAAGTCAAGAGAGAAGCATGGAACTTTTTCTCCCGCTGAGCCCCCAAAAGGAAACAACTTGGTCACATCTTGATTTTAGAACTTCAAGGGGGAATTTTTTTTCTGTTTGAAAACCTTCAGTTGTCTTTACTTCATTAAGTCACCACTAGGAAAGGTAACTAATTTAACTTTCTGCTCCCTCAAATTCTAATGATGCAATGTTACCCTAATTTGGGGTCATCTGAGACTAACTCTGACCATTATTTCCTATGTAAATCTATCATATAATTGATCCATTCCAAATTTTCCCTACAACACATTCTTCCATGTAATTCTTGATAAATAGTAAACTGGACAAATATCCCCAGTACCCAAATCTTTGGATACTGAAGAGACTTGTGAAGCCAACCTGAGATTTAATGAGAGAAAAAAGATCTGTATCCTGAATCCTGTGACCCTGCCTACATCCTTCTCTGCCAGGTGCTTCTGAAGCACTCCAGGCAAGGTAAGGTTCTATACACCTTTCAAAACAGTGTGCATTCTGGCTTGCTTATTGGGGCTCCAAAGGAGTTTATATGTGGTCACTAGTTTATATGTGGTCACTCCATGCCAAATTCTTTAGCAGAACCATCCTGAGTTCTGTGTCTTCTCAACCTTCTTTTTGGGGCTACTACACACTAAGAAGATGAGCAGCATAAAGACTGAAAACTTTTCTTCTCTTTCAATTAAACCTAAGCAATTAGTCTGGGCAGTAAATGATAATTGAGGTCACCTCCCCATCTCCATGGGAGGACAACTGGGGATCCCCTCAGTAGGTAGTGAAATCCCTGCCTCATTCAGGTTCCAGCAGCTTCTCCCCTACACCCCATTCCCTGCCCTTCATATGCTACTGGGATAATAGTGTGTAAAAGACTTTGCAGAAAAATAGAAATCTTTTCCTTCCTAGATCTTCCTAGACCCAGGTGTAGGTCCTTGATCCTAAATGAGATACTGAGACTTGTGTGGCTACTGACCTTCACAGAAGCACCAAAACTCTCACATAAGAGAGGAGGGTCATGACACCAAAGAGCAAATGATGTGCTCGTTATTCTCATCCTCTGAGTTTGCCTTGAGGAATGGGCATTGTCTGCTAAATTGCAAACAGCAGTTCTGACTAAGGGAGAGCAGGCAGCTCAGAAGCCACTCACTGTAACTTTCTCCCTGGGTTAAAAAGCGAAGAGGTTCAAGGAACTTTGATACATTCCACCAGCCAATCACTCTTCCTGATGGAACCAAAGTCATTGGAGCAATAAACAGATTCTAAGTTTTAAAGCTAACGGAGATAAAAAGGACCCTCTCAGATCTTGTTGGTTGTCATCACTTTGAATGAGGGTTGCCTGTAAAAGAGGCAGACAGAAAAAGAAACTGTGCCTGATACTTTGTTTTCCACTGCCAGCATTCCTCCATGTGGGGCAGGAGGTCAGAGGTAAGACTGCCCCACACAGACCTCTTCCTCCAGGGTGGCCCAGGAACTTTGGGAAAGAGCTCTAAATTTAATGATTCTTGTTTCTCCTCTCCCCATACATGTGGCACGGTGGGGTCTAGGACAGTGTCGGCCCTTTAGTATATTGGGGAGACTTGTGGTCTCCTACTTCCTGCCACACAGGGGTTTACCTCAACGGGTGGTTGTGGATGTGCATTCACCTGCTTTACTAAAGTCCCTACCCAAGTTTCTTTATCCACCCTCAACTCCAGGTGGCCATTGACTGATGCTGTCCCCATATCTCCAGGGCATTATCACGTCAGGGTCCCTCACGAACAAACTTCTTCCACTATGTTACTCAAGCTGCATGGACCATATTGCTGACCTGCTACATCCTAAAACAGTCTTTAGGAAGGGTCAGTTCTAGAATGTCACTCAGTCCCCATGTCCCAGCACACTGCCTACGTGCACGCTAGATCCACAGAAAGGAAAAAGTCAGAATCCTGGTATCTTACATGCTCACCTCTCTGGGTCTACCTTATCCAAACTTATCCAGGAAAGATGCCTCTTGTTTCCTGGTGGTAAAGAATGTCAGTTCCTGGCATGCGGAAATGACTCAGTCCCAGGCTTGTAGTGAACTCCAAAATCTAATCCAGCAGGCAGCCCTTCACATGGAGACTAAAGGAATTTCATAAGTCCTTCTACCCCCAATCAAAACCACGGCTTTCACAACCTTTCTTGCTAGGGACTCATAAATTGTATTTGCCAGTCAAAACTGAAAAATGACTTTGTTTTCCTAGCTGGTCTCCTCTTGTCCATTCTTTAGAGATCTAACACTCCTGTTTCAATAGGCAAGAAGTTTAAGAATAAAAGCATTTATAGGTTATTAAAATATATTTTAAAATAATGTCTGGCATAATCTCCTGAGTCAGGTAAAGCATTAACGTGTTCTGTTCCTGTTTTATAACCTTGGTCAAAGCTGAGGGTCTGTAAGGAGCCATAATCCAGCCACTGGACATCTCCTAGATATGTGTCACAGATTTGTCAGGAAAAGGATGGGTAAGGGGAAAAGAAACAAGGGCAGAGGACTCCACTGTACCCAGAAACATTTAGCACTTTGGAAATGCTCATAGGCTGTGGTTCTTGAGTCCAGATGACCAGTGTCAATAGTTTGCTGTGTGCTGTCTCTGCCTGTACAGACTTGGCTGAGGAGCTGTCTTGGTGCTTCAGAGCTGTGAGTGCAGGCCAGGTGTCCCACCAGCACTGCTGCATGCACAGGACCCAGGTCAGCTCCACTGAGCTGTGTGTCCCTAATGTGAGATCAGGGTTTAAGGAAGAAAGAACGTGGACCCACCAATATTATGAGTGAACAGGTTTATAGAAGCATCAGACTTTCAGGTATGAGAAATATATTCAAAAAGTTAAATGCTAAGGATAAAGACACAAGACCAAATGGAAAAATAATCTGTGTTTTACAAGATTAAGAACTGAAGAACTTTTAAGTACACACAGTAACACACACACAAAAGAAGTCTTCCAGTAGACAACACATTTGTCATGTTGCTTTTTTTGAGCATTTGTTACGTGAATGATTTCTGGTGATGTTCATACCTACAGACCATGGAACACTTTAATTATTTCTGACATCACTGATTTTCTTCTTGCTAACTGAAGTTTCCTTCTTGATTGTTGGAGTTTCCCATGAAATAGGAGACTTTGAAGTAGATTTACTTTGATAATAATAGTACTTTTGTCACATTGCATCCTTAGAATATCATTTTTCAACAATGAAAACCAGCTCTGATTTCTCTGAAAATTTCTCATCTCTTTAAAATATTACCAAGGTCTGGTGGCTGTGCACCCAAGGAAATGTAGCGTCTTCCATAAAGTATTTGGCATTTGTGAAGTTTTAAGCCAGAGGGGGTTAAACTAGACAAAGCTTCTTGTCCTTTTCAACAAAACAAAAGCCCAGGAGGTCTGAAAATGTAATCTGCAGCTCCCGTTCGGCCACCGGTCACATTGCTGCCAGCAGTGGCATTTCACACAGAGTGCAGCCAGCCAGTTTCTTTGATTCTCAGAACTCACAAAGCTAAAACTAAAAATATTCTTCATCTGCTAAATATCCGTAAGTAGCCTCTTTCTTCTTATTTTTTTCCCTCATTTTTCCTTTTCTGTTGTTATAGTCATCGTCATCGTCATCATTGTTGTTGTAGCCAGTAAAGAAAAGAAATTATTATTGTATTTGATCCTGTAGATCTGGGGCATAAGGGAGGGATAAAGGAGGGAGGGATAAGGGAGCCATGGCCCAAAACACCAGCCACTTGCAGAAGGGGAAGGTGGAACTTTGATCACCCGGATCTACAGGGCTCCTGAGGTGCTGTTTCCTCCCCCGCCAGCCTTTCCCTTTCCCATGGGCTGTGCTTTTAGTTCACTGGTGCCATTGCAACTTCCTCCTGGAGACTCAAAATGTCCTGCAGTTTTTGGGAGGTCAAAGTTAGTTAGCACCTTCCCTGCTGACGTGGGGCCCAACCATGCTCCTCTCTGTCGTCTTTTCCGTGTGTGCGCTGAAAGTCATACTCCCTGGACTTTGAGAGACTTTGTCTTCAGGAACACCTGTGATGCTGGCCCCATCTCCTAGTAATTAGGAGAGCAATTCTGTGACCTCCTGGTCCACCAAACAGGGTGAGAGGCTGCCTTAACCCTGGTAGAACTGAATCTCACTTCTGTGAATATGGTATCCTATGCCTGCCTCAGGGTCACCAGCTTTCAATCTTGTGACCCCTTTTGGTCCCTGCTTTGCCTCTGGTGTTGCTCTTTAGGGCAACCCATCTCCTTCTTCATGCCCAAGATCTCTGCATGGTACAGGCACTCTACCAGCAGCAGTGGTGTTTCTGCCCAGGAAACCAAATTAATTAGTCACCAATTAGTGGCAAAAAGCAAACCCCTCGCTCCAGCCCTAGCATCTGTGTTTTCTTCTCATGTGACCATGCGTGACTGTGAAAATCAGAAGCCGGGCAATCCAGTGGGGGTCATGGATGACAGGAGCCTTTCCAGAGGGCTCTGGGCTACATTACTCATGTTTCTGCTCATTGCATCACTCCCTAGGCCATTTAGGTTCCCTTCAAAAACACAGCCACTGCCTCCTGTGGCTAAGCTTTCTGTCATCTTTGATGAGGACAGTTCTGACCTATAGGCAATCACCCTTTTGGTGCTTAGAAGCATTCCTAAGGTTGTGGCCCACTGCCAATTGAGTTTACCACTTTACTACAAATCATCTGGGCTATTAAGGTACTAGGACGACCTTGTTCAGGACTGGAATCCTCGAATAGGCAAGAAACCTAATTCACAGGAGACACTGAGGACTCACTGCATGGGCCACATTAGGGCCCATGTGTAAGTTCCTGTGAAAGTCCAGTGCCTCTCTCATCCCAAGGAAGGTGATAAATGCTAAGTCTTCCCACAGGCAAGGCCAGGCAGAGCATGCATGGCTAGCAGGAAACATAGGAGCCAAGTATTGCTTTCCTTGCACATGCATCCTGATGATTGTCAAAGGTCAGAGGCATGAGATAGAACGACCCCCAACCTGTGCCCCAACAATGCCAGGGTTCAGGGCAACAGGAAGCCCCACAACAAAAGGCAAACCAATTCTCTGTTTGGTTATAGTTTTCAGTAAAAGGAAATAATAGCTTTTTTCCTCCCTAAATTGTTGTGGTCAAGTAAAGGTTATTTCTTGAATCACTCAGAAAGTAATGGTGAAGAATTTGCTGAACATTTGGAAATGACCTAATAAATTTTGACTCAGCAAACTGTATTTCTCCCAGCATTTTACATTAGGATACCGGCCTGGGAAGAACAAAAAGTGTTCCACTGAGAACTGTACCCAGGTGGATGTTTCTCTCTGAGGATACCCATATCTGGGTTGGGTGAGCTCAGTGTCAGAAGTTGGTTGTGATGGTTAGATTCCATAGGGAGAGAAACCAAGTTATTGTAACTTTATACTCATTCAGATGAAAGACCATAATAATAATGGCTTACTGTAAAGTGAAAACAACACTAATGATTGTATTCATTAGCAAAATGATATTTGCTGGACTAGCATTAGCAGTTATCAAATTGCAGGTGATAATAGAAATGTGAAATTAATTTCATTGAAGGAATTGAAGAGTGATTTATTTACAACGAGCATCCATTCTATGTGAGACTTCACTGACTCTATTAAAAATAGTGGCATCCTTCTTAGAGTGTGCCGCTTACCATAACAGTTCAAATTTTAGTATGTTTTTAAAATGTACTTTATTTTTATCTACATCAGAGCAGACACAGGGATGTCATCTCAACTCCTGAGAATACTTTGCTCAAGTAGGAGAATGATAGTTTAGCCTAGTTGATAGAGTGGTACTGGCTAATCATCTTTTTATATTGCTAGGAGTATAAAGGAGGGAACAGGCAAGTACAAAATGCAATGAAATTCATTCACACATATACCTGTGTAATCACAATCCAGATCAAAATATGGAGTTTTCCAACCCCAATGGAGTCCCCTTCCTGGCCTCTTGATTGCTGTACCCAGGGAGCCACTATGACTTCTGCACTGTAAGTTGCATTTTTCTGAGGTTGAGCTTTATCTAATGGAATCATTCCATGCATAACCTTTTCTGTCCGGCTCTATTCTCTCACCATAGCACTTTTGAGATTTACTCAGGTGTTGTCCATATCAATACTTCGTTCTTTTTTATCGTCTCATTTCAATCTTTAAATAGTTTGCTCTGATTCTGTCTATGGTAGAAGTTATGACTCCTTGTCATTGTGAATTGGTTCACACTGACAAAATTCTGTCTATGAGGCAGGCTGTTTTGTGACTTGAAAGGAGCAGAAGATGGTTACAATGGGGAGACCACCACTGAAACCCACAGTGGCCCCAACTTTGGGGCCATGGGCCAGGTGAGTGATGGCAGACCCTAGAGACTCCAAGAAACAATTTCCAGGTATAGTGTCAGAGCACATATTGTGCTGGATCTTATTTTTAAGCTCTTTAAATTTGCTGTGTACCATACTTACTATTGATTTTCTTTTCAAGATCATTTACAAGCTCTAGCAACAAAATCTAGCACTTGTTTCTTCTATAAGCAGGTGCAGTTCTTATGCTTGGGCTCTGGATACTGCACAGACACACAAGAAGAGCCACTGTCCTGCTCTCTGTCTTCCCACAACACCTACTATTTCACTAGAGTCCTCTTGGGACTTGAGTTCTATCCGTCTTTTCTTCTGTATTCCCTGCTTCTTATTGTTTTTAAAGTTTTTAGCTGATTATCCAAACAAGCAGTGCTCTTAAAGTGTTTCCTCTCAAGTAGCATTGCATTGCTAACCCTACCTTATATATTTGCTAAAATAGTATAAGATCCATCTCCCCTTGATAAGTACTTTTTAACTTGGCCATTTCAGTGACTGACTGAGAATTCACAAAGACTCAAATCCTAAGTCCATTCTCATTTCCAGAGGGAAATGCAAAGGAGAAAACGCCTGCTTGCTTGCAGTGAACAGGTGCAAACAGCTTTAAAGAACTGCCCATCAAGAATCAGATACAGTCCAGGGCAACTGGAAACACAGGAAATTCAGTCTAAAATCATCCGGCCGGTTCAAACTCTTTAGGGGAAAAGGCCTCAAAAATGTGCCCCATGGATTTTTCTCCCATTAAAAGAGACATTGAAATGGCTAAATATACCTGCCATAAAATTAAAGCAATGTCATATTTGATATATGAGTTATGACTGAGAAAGCTGGTGAATGTTTAAACTTTTAAAATTTTCTGATAGTAAAAATCACATCACAATTAAGCCCCTTAAAATACTCTTCTTCCCTTCCGAGGCATACATCCCATCATTCTTGTCACTTTCAGAGCAGTTCTGGAAGCTTCCGGAAGCCTTCAGTCTTTAGTTGTACTGTCATGAACCCATTCAAAAGGTTCATCTTTCATCGTTATTTTGATTTGGGGAAGGACAAGAAAGCACACAGTACCAGATTCAGTGATAAGGCTGAGGACACACTGCAATGTTGTCACCTGCCTGTCTTTCCACTGGATGGTCCTAGACAGCAGCATTCACCATTTTTTTCACATCTTGTAAAGATGTGAAAGCATTTCCAAAACTTCAAGATGTGTTTTCTTAGTATCATGGAGTGCTACTATGCCATAAGGAAGGAAAAGCTTGAGACATTTCTAGATAAATGGATGTACCTTGGGACATACTCTTAAGTGAAATAAAATTGCACATGCGTGTAAATACCACATTGTTTCTCTGGTGTGAGAAATCAAAAGTGTAAGCAAGGACCAAATTCTACAATGGATATTGTGTAATAAAAACATTTTTTAAAAAAAATTTTATTTAAGTAAAAAAAACAAAACAGTAAAAGGGTACAAGTAGTACAGAATTTCAAAAAAAAATAAACAGTAAGAAATCACTAGTTAATAGATAGCATATTGTCGTCTTACAAATAGTTGTTCAAGTTACAAAATTAAAGTGTACAAAGTGAACATCCAAACAGTGAGACTGCAAACACTTCTGTTCAATGATCCAAAAAAAAATTTGTAATATAGTTATCTATCTTACACACTTAAATACACATGCAGTTATATACTTTAGAGCACTTTCTTCCTCTCCTTTTTACAATAACAATTACACATTTTGGATTTTATTACTCCCACAGTTCTTTTTTTTTTTTTTTTGAAGAGAATAAAACCAATGTGACAAAACAAAACAGTCAAAACGAAAGGATAGATATAGTACATGATGTAAAAACAGAATACAAGGTGATCAACAGTGTTTACCATAATGCCTCTTGCTATCTGGAAAAGAATTTCCTATGTCATCAGGTATAATAAAATTGAACAAAACAGTACAGAACAAAACCAATAAAACAAAAGAACATTTTCAAATGGGAAGGTTGTGAGAAGGATTAAAAAGAAAATATGAGAAAAGAAGTAAAAATTGAAAATAAAGCTTGTGTAAATAAGGGGAAAGAGGGCTGGAAGGGAGGGTAGAAGAATGAGGAAAAAGAGAATTATGCTATATCATGTAGAGGTACAAATGCCCCATGATGAATGTGATCATTTTGTATCTGGCTATACTGTCAGAAGAATTAAAATCTTCATACCACAGCAATAAATGTGCGCCATGTACATTTGTAATAACTAAATCTAGGAAACACCACAAATGCCCATCAACTGAAGGATGGATGAAAAAGATGTGGCCTTTTCATACAATGGAGCACTACTCAGTCATAAAGAAGGATAAACTGGAGTCTTTTATAGGTAAATGGGTGCAATTTGAGACCACACTCAAAAATGAAATAAATCAGATTCATTGCCTTTCTGGTGTAAGAAACTGAAAGATCCAAACTGTACAATAGATATTGTGAAATGAGAAGAAATTGTTCAAAAGGAAAGAGGAACTAGGGTGGAGGAAAGGGGGGAGGAAGGAAAGAAGGAAGAGGAAAGGAAAAACAATGCAAGAGAATGATACTAATTTCTCCTGGTTCATCAAAAAGAAGGATTTGTACCAATATTGTTTGGAGGACTCTATGCTCACATTTTGTACTATGAGCAACTACTTTGAAGATAACAAGCAATGTGTTAACTATTGTTATTCTATTATTCTGTTTGGAAATTTTGTTTTACTTTTTCCATAAAATAAAGAATAAAAATAAAATGTACTAGTAAACTTAATAAAAAAAAACTTTAGAAAGTTGTAAGAAGAACAGTGTATATTTTTGAAGCAAGGGGGAATATTTTGGAAGGATTAATGGCAAAGTGCCTTTTCTTGTGCTAATTTAAAAAATGTAAACATTCACCATAGTTTTCGACCACACCTTGTACAGCATAACAACAATGCTGGTTATAATACAAATCAAAGAAGGGAACTGCTACCTTCAGAAATAGGATTATTTATGCTTGTCACAAAAGAAGAGTCCATTAGCATTGTGGAAGAACATTTTCTGAAAGGCATCTTTTGGTAATGATCCCTGCACAGTGGCACCTAAGCGCCAACCAGAGTGACGAACAGTCGTTATGGGGTCACGGGGACACCCCTGTGAGTAGCTTAGCTAGAAATCGGTGAAAGTACAGTCTTCAGAGCTCCTGGGACCTCAAGAGGGAGGGCTGGGGGCAGCATGCCAAAGCTGAGGCCCCCTCCGCCACACAGCTGCTTTCCTCCTCCAGAGGCTCTTCTTTACTGTGAATTTTGTCTTCAACTCTTACACAAGAAACCAAGAAAGATGGAGATATGTAAATATCCTAGCACCTATAGAGTAGTATCTCCACTCACAAACTTGATCCTTTCCTTGGTTCTGGTTGGAAACTGAATTGGTCACAAACAGAATCAAATTTCTCCATAAGGTCAGCATGGAACCTAACCATGGAATTTGATTTGGTTCGTAAGCAACTCAGTTTGCAAGCAGGATCATGGAAAACGTTAAGTTCAGGGACTGAGGTCCCACTGTATGTGCTACTATTTGGGAGCACAGTCTTTTCTGGTGTGATTAAGAAGAGATCATCTTAAGTCAGTCTGATCCCTAAGGCCTATGGCAGGGTTCTTATAGGAAACAAGAGACAAATTAGGGGCACAAGGACACACAGAGGGGAAAGGCCACATGCTGATGGAGGTAGAGCTTGGCGTTACATGACTACAAGCAAAGAAACAACAAAGATCACAAGAATGCACCAGAAGCCAGGAGAGTGGCATGGAATGCATTATTCCTCAGCCTGCAGAAAGAGCCAGGCTTGCTGCACCTGGACTTAGACCTATGATCTCCAGAACTTGCAGAGAAGAAATCTCTCTTTCTAAAGTCCCTAAATTTGTGGTTGTTTGCTACACAGCCACAAGAAACTAATAAACTTAATGCTGCAGGTCATTGATAGAGGCATTGTTTCAGGATCTAATGGGCACCGCGCTCCAGCTGACAATGAGCCCAGCATAGCCACAGCATCTTCTAACAGCTACCTGTGTTTGTTGTGCAGATTTGGACCACTGCCCTGTGCTTGCCTCGGTGGCACATATACTAAAATTGGACCACTGTCCTTAGTGCAATGCAGGGTAGATGTGGAAAACAGGCTAGAGGGAGCTGGACTGTTATTATCTTTGTGGACAGACATGAACTGGGTCTGTTTTTCTACATCCTAACAGCAGTGAACACATTCAGATCATTAGCACAGAGGAATGCAAGGACAGGGAGCTTTTGCATATTAAGGACTGAATAACCATTGTGTCTGTATTTTCATATATTATAATACTTTATCTTCACAATTAACCTAAAATGGCCATTGCTACTTATTCCATGTTAAAGATGAAGGAGCAGAGCTTGGAAAACTGAGGTCATTGGCTAGGATTCTGGCAGCTATGCAGGGCAGGCCTGAGCAGCAGGAGCGATGATTCAGAGATGGAGCCCACAGCATCACTGTGTGGCTTCGTTCTGCTCGGCTGACGTGCTCTGAGCTGTGCTCAGTCTCAGCTCAGCTGATTTGAAGTTCACTTTTTTCCCCACGTTGGGCTGCAGGGTATGAAGAATGAGAGCAAAATGGGCAACCCAGAAAGTGGATGGATTACTAGATAGTGACTGAAAAATCCTTCAGTTGCTTCTACTAACATTTGTAAATGGATTCTTTCTGATCACTGGGAAAATATGAACAGCCTCATGTGGGATCATGTCATACAATCTTACACTCTTAAAAACATTCTAAGCAAAACTCTTAGAAATATTGGCAAGTCTCTTCAAGGGTCAACTGCATACATTCTGTGTATAATACCTCTAGCCATGGATCTGCACCCATGGGTGGCAGGAAGGGCAGCCAGTTCATGCTCTATGACAGGAAAGTCATAAGTGGGACAAGGGTCTGCTTTTTCATACATCGATAAAGCTAATCAAAATATGTGTATTTTCAGTTTTGATTTATTCAATCCAGTTCAAAGAGATATGAAAAAGAAAAGCTACAGAAAGATAAAGAGCAGAGGCTGCCCACACAGATCACCACAGAACCACTAGAGAGGCTACTAAGTGTCTGGCCTCAGCCCCAGAGGAAAATACTGATGCGATCTATCTGAGCAAGTTGGGTGAGCACCTGGCGTTGGGAACTAGACTGTGAGACTGACACACAATTCAAGTCAGGGAAGCAGAAAACTTTAAACAAAGAGATGCAGAACTGAATAAGTGACATGTTTTTGGCTAACTGTTCTGAACACTATATTACAGTAATCAAGACAGTATAAGATGTGAAGACCAGCACAAGGTTAGCAAACGTAGTTTAATTGTGAGCACTGTGCACAGAAGGGTAAGTTTGTAGGTGGGAAAATGACTCTAATGATTCCAAGACAACTCTTAAGGGGAACTTTTTCCATGATTCAAAAGGGCATCAAGGCAGGCTTGATAGAATCAGTTTGCAGCTTCTGGAACTTTCTACTGGTCACTCCTTACTCCCTGGAGAGTTTAATTGCTGGATTCATTAAATGTTGAATCTAAGATGAAAGGTGTCATTGATTGAGTTTCAAAATAAGTCAGTGCATTAATATTTTATTAATAATGATTAAAAACTGCTTAGACAGCCTGATTATGAGGGAATAGCCATATACCAGGCAACAAAATGAGAATTATTAATCAGGCTGAATATTAAGATATAAAGCCTCTAATAACCTGATAATCTTACAATGACAACAAATAGGGAGCCTGAGTCCCTCTATCTGGAAATTAACTCTCCCAAGCTCTGTATGGAAGTTCCTAGAAGCCAGCTGCTTCTCTGTCTCCCTTATCCTGTTACCTCCCATTCCTCGCAGTATCAGTTCCATATCACCTCCCCTGAGACTAGCACTGAGCTCCTGAGACTCTATCACTAATCTGCTTGCCTTTCCTTTGCCACAGTAACAGGAAACCTCGTTCCAATGAAATGAGAGTCATGGCTTGACTTCCACCCACAATGTGCTCCTGCCTCCACCTCATCTTTCCCAGACCTGACCACATCTTCCTGTTCTTGCTGGCCTGACTCACTAGCAAAGGTCTGCATTTGTGCATCATAGCTGAAAATGTGAGCAACACACCAGAAGTCTGCCTTTGAAGTGCTTCCAGGCTGGTCAATGGAGGAAATATCAGGTTTTTCATCAGAAACTTCTTTTCATGCACTATGAAATTCAAGTCAAAAACTGGACTTCCAAGGATTTAGAAATACCTGAGCATCCGAGGCACTGGCAGTTAGTAAACTCCGGGTCAATCCCCAAATCCCGAGGCCACCCGCTCCCCCAAGTGGTATGTTTGCCAGGCATTTCATAAAATAACTGTTACTGGTTTTATTCTAAGCATCAAAAATAAAGGTGCAAACCACAATCTCAGAAAAGTACAAACTACATCTACCATCAGGAAGCTGGCTTCATTTTTTTCCTTGAAACACTGTATCCCTGGGTTTAAAAACAAAATACTTGCACAACCTTCTCTCCATCTCAAAGTTACATAGCACGCTTCAAGTACCATTGGATCTTAATGGAAAAATAGACAACCACAGTTGCAGAAATTCCTGTCATCAGAGGCAGCCCGACCCTGGACTCACTCGGGGCCTCACTATGGGCATCTTGGGATCCAGCATAGGCCCACATACTGCTCTCTAAGAGGCCTCCTCTCCCTGGGACCCATGGTTGCTGTCACTTTCCCTTTGCTCTTGTTGTCACTAACTTTGCTTAATGACCTTGTTCTCTGGGACTTACCATCTCTCCAGTGGAGAAACGGGCCCAGCTCTCCTCGGTTGGAGTTGGGGGAGTTTGCTCTCTCGCTAAGACCCCAGAGTGCGGGGGCAGAGCCACGTGGGCTGTGATGGGACTGAATGTTCAGTACATTTTTTTCCTAAATGGATGTTCAATATTTTAAGTGGCACATCAGTTACTCTGGGGTGTTCTTATCCAGTTCACTCCATCAGCTTCAATAAATGCCAAATTAAAAAAGAAAGGGGAAAGGGGGAAGAAGAAGAAAGAAAGAAAGAAATAGCATGCTTTTCAGTGTGTGTGTGTGTGTATGTGTGTGTGTGTGTGTGTGTGTGTCTGTGTGCATCTGAGAATTCAAAATTCCAAATGAAAAACAAAGAGAATTTAAAAAGCAGGAGACAGGAGGTAAGTAGGTGAAGGCCAACAATATTAGCCCTGCATGCTGATACCCTAGCTAGCCTTTCTGGCCATTGACTGCCCAAGGAAGACAATTTCTTTGCCTTGTTGCCCTCTGTCCTTTGACTTTACCTTCATCTTTTCTTTTTTTTTTTTTCTTTTTTCAGTAATGAGGCCTGAACTTGAGGGAACTCTACCCCAAAGCCCCTCTTTTTGAGGCAGACAGATGTCAATCTTCTGATCCTCCTGCCTAAGGCTTCCATGAAGCTGGGATTACAGGTGCACCCCACTTATCTTGGCTTGACTTCCTATTTTCTAGTCGGAAAAAGATGCCCCCAAAGTTATGACATTGTATCCTTACAATCTGATACTTTACATGGCAAAATGGACGTTCAAGGGGAAAGAAAGTTCAGTATATTGAGGTAGAGGGTTATTCTGGATAATCCAGACAGGTCCAAGGTGATCATCACAAGGATCCTCATAAGAAAGAGGCTGAGGCCAGAGTCAGAGTGTGAGCAGCTTCCAGAAACAGCTAGAGAAAGAAGGGAAATTTTCTCTTCCTGAATTCTATGGACAGAACATGGTCCTGCTGACACATAGACTTCAAGGAAATGAGTTTCCAACTTCTGTCCTCAAGAATCATAAGATGATACTGTATTTTCTGTTTTGTTTTGTTGTTTTGTTGTACCAAGAACCAAATCCACTACCTTGCTTTTGCCAGGCAGGTGCCACACTGCTGAGCTATATCGCTGACCCTACACTGCATTGTTTTAAGCCACTGCTTTTGTAGTTTGTGTCTCTCTGTGTGTGTATGTGTGTATGTGAATTTGTATGTGTGTGTGCATGTGTGTGTGTACACTGTAACAGGAATTGAACCTAGGGGTTTCTCACAGAGCCACACCCCCAGCCTTTTTTAATTCATTTTTTTTAAATTTTGGGCCAAGCTCTTACTAAGTCACTAATTTGCCAGACTGGGCTCAAATTTATAATCCTCCTGTCTCAGTCTCCCAGAGTGATGAGATTACAGACATGAACTCCATGCATGTCTCTGCACTCTGCTCTGAACTTCATATTCATCATGAATGCCAAAGGCAAGCAGAGATACCCAGGACCCCAAGGTGAAGTCTGAAATGTACAGCTTTGAGGTAGAGTGTCTAGGTAGGGGTACAATCTGATTGAAGGTGTCCCCAAAACCAGGATGGGCACAGTTTCCTTTGATTAGTTAGCCTGGTTACCACGCTGTTGGAAGTCTCAGAACCACCTTTACCCTCAGAGAACTTTCCTTCTGGGCTGGGGAAAAGTCTGACATGCAAAAAGTGACCAGGACGGGGAGGAACGTTCTGTGAGACATCAAGGCCTAATTGCAAGAACACAGTCCTGGACATGGCTTGGCCTCACCAGCTCAGAGTTAGAGAGAAACAGAGACACAGACAGAGACAGAGACAGAGAGAGACAGAGAGAAAGAGGGAAAGAAACAGAGACACACGGAGAGAGGCCATCTCTGCACATCTCATTGGGCAGCAATCCCAGCTGGACATGGCCGTAGTGGTAGCTATTCTTCATCTGACCAGCTGGCTCTGCCACTGGGGCTCCTGAGCCCACTGTTGTGTGCACTCTCACTCATCTGCTTTCCTGGATCATAGGCTGGGAAGCAGCAGCACAAGAAGAGAAAGGTGGCCCCCAAAGTGTTTAGATGTACAGGTACAAGTTGGGCTCTCTGGGTTCCAACAGCAACTCACATCTCTTCTAAAAGGAGTCCCTTTTAGATAGGAAGATAGGATAGGAAGAAGGATAGGAAGAGCTTCCTAGACTGGATCAATACACTATTCAGGAACCTTCCATCCACATTTTTGAAGAAAGCAGGAAGAATGGTGACTCAATAGAGGCCATGATATCTGGATTCTCTTGGTGTTAAAACAATGCCAGTGAGTGCCCATGGGCTGGGATCTGCACAGCCAGCCAGGCCAGCCCTAGCACAGGTTTCTGACTGTTAGGGAAATGTAGAATACAGAGCCACGGGAAAGGCAATGACAGGGTTTCAGCTCCTTGATAGTATCTGATATATGTGCATTACCCTCTGCTTGGAGCCTTTCCTCCAAACATCTTCATGATCCGTTCTTCTATATCCCTTTGACTTTTTCTTTGTTCCCTCAAACCTTTTCCTTATCCCAAGCCATTGACCTCAGTAATATTCCATCTAATTGTTACTTTCTTAATGAATGCAAATCAAATTTCTGGCATCCTGATGTTCCATTTGAAGTTCATCCATCAGCCTGGGTTTGTCTACCAAATCAGAGACCTGTTGGGTAGCACAGTTCCTACATCAATTCTTGGGTCACATAACACCCTGCATGAGAAATCCAGATCAATAGGACTACACATAAGCCACTGGAAAAGACAAGATACAAGCTAACAGAAGGACTGTGAGGGCTGCTGCGGGGAGAGTGGTACAGCAGTTGCCCTAGAAATGCGATTCACCTCTTTTGCTTTGGATCTGCCTCTGGTTATCTAAAAATGCAGTCACCCCCAGCTCTCAAGACAAGTAGGCCATGTCTGCATACCATTGGACACCTTGGGGCTACAACAGCCTCAGACTTGAGACTGGATGATCCATCTACAGGAAGAGCATTGTGACACTTCCCAGATCAATTGTTTGTTCAGGACATCACACAGGGCCTGATAGATGCTTGCTCCCCTTCAGCTTTGGTAGTGCTGCTGGTAAGTTTTGCAAAATGCAAGACTGACTATCCAGGGGCACGTTCTGCACACTGGCCACCAGGAATGAACACTTAGCATTCATCCTTTGATGTTTTCCAAATGGTCTACACAGGGACTGTCAGCACGAAGAATTACTTTATTACACTTTCAGCAGTAATAGAAAAATCTCGTTTTAAGCCACCATTTGGATGTTAAACTGCATAGACTGATTTTCTATAACTGGAGTACAAATTGACCCAGTGAATTCAGCAGAAGGAGGTACCATATGTGCAGACAGGGGAGAAAGGCAGGAAAAATGGCACCAGCATCAGACCTCTTGACACAGGGGTGGGGCAGACCTGGTCCACCCTGGCACTTCCTTTACACTGCTTTCCAGATAAGACTTTCTTCCTGTCTTGGCCTCTAGCTGTGCATTTGTGCATTTCTGAGGTCCACATTAGGAGCATGGTGGAATGAGGTCATGCAGTGAACAAAACCCTGGGTCTCCATCGCTATGGCCAAATACTTGCAACTGAAAGCAACTGTTTTTAGTCCTGTGAGGCAGGTAATGGGAATGTGCAGTGGATAGCCCTGGACAGCTAGTACATTAGCCCCACAATTACATAAGCTCTTCACATTATCATATAATTTTCAGCAACATTTTTTCACAACACGAATGTACAGTGCTTGAGCATGGTGACAAGCTGTGTGAAGGAGGGCTAATATGCTTAATTATAAAAAAATAGGATTTGTGTTATTCATATACATTAACTATGCCATATGTTGTATAGGTACCCCAAGACAATTCTCTTCATTCAATGTGGCCCAGGAAAGCCAAAATTTGGAAATTCATACTATAAGATGAAGTGTCCAAGGGTTAGCTATACAGGATCATATAGATCCTATTCATTCCTTCTGGACTTACCTGTATATTTGAAGTAGACTGGAAAGAATTCCTGATCCTCCCCAAACAGTTTCCAGTTTTGAGGTTAAACGAAAAAAAAAAAAAAAAAAAAAAAAAAAAAAAAAAAGATGAGCAGGACTAGAGACTAAGCAATTCTTTGGTGCACAGGTGTGTGTCCTTGTGAGTGCTCGTGTGTACATGTATGCTTGAGCACTTGGACACACATGGGTGCATGTGTGCTGTGCAAGAACTTATTATACACAGTTCCACTCCCTGCCCTGGGCTTCCCTGAAAATTTCAGCTAGGACTTATTCATTTTGTGTCTCTACCCTGGTCAGTGACTTCTAAAGTCATGTGTAGAGAACCATGGTAAGTTTCTTTTGAAGAAAAGATCCTGTCTCCTTTGCTCAAGAACTAGCCCCTGCAGGGATTCATGTGAAACTGGTATTCTAAAGACATCTGTCTTTCCTATATCATGTGCACACAGGGCTCAGGAGCAAAATGAGATCTATCCACAGGAGTGGTAACAGTGATCTTTTAAGTCCCCATGTGGAGGGATTCAGAAGGTGTATGGGAGAGCTTTCTGGCACTATGATAATACACCTAAGATAGATAATTTATAAAGAGGAAAGGTGTATTTGGGCTGATAGTTTCG